AAATTTGAACGAAGTGTTAAATTTCTTGTTGAATTCCTTCATTCTAGCACAAGTCATCATTCCTTTTCTATTTGCTTTTGAAAACCCGTTGATATATTCTTGAAATTTACACGTTAAATCTTTGTTCAAAACACGATTGACGCATTTGATAAAACAGTGACCATCTGTAGGTATGTAACAATTTCCGCCTTCGTATTCATTTATCTTTTTAAGTAGATCAGTTCCTCCTCTACCAACTCTCGATCTTTTGATTTCTTGGAAATTATCTTTCATTAAAATTATTTTTCCTGTAAAATACCAATGAGAAGCATCGGATTTTTTGTCCATATTTGAAAAGTTATTGTGAAAAGTTTTGGCATTGAAACCAAGGAGTAACATGTATTGTCTGTGATTCCCTTCCTCGACTATCTCTCCATGTATTTTAATTTGTCCTTTGAATGTTTTAAATTTATCAGAGATAGCCTTGATAACATCGGAAAATAGGGCGTTTTCTATCAATGTTTCATCGTCTGCAAATTCGATTTTATTCATATTTTTTTTAAGTATATATTTTTGATTATTTCTTTATTTTGAACGCTGATATTTCTGTATGGAATTTGTCCAGAATTTCATTGAATTCTTTTAATTCTTCAACTGTTATGTTCTTGTCTTCTCTCGATCTTTCGAAAAAGATGTACAATTTATTAAGATACATATTCAAGATATCCGTTTTCTTTTTATAATGAGCTTTCTTTTTGCTCGTGAAACCTAAAGTGATGAGACCGCAAGAGGTCGTTTGAACGGCTGTTAATGCAGCCAATACGGTTGGGACGATGACCGGAAGCATTAATCCACCAGTCACGACCGTTGCCACCGTTACTCCTACCGTTAGAGGAGTGCTCGCTGTTTTGAAAAAAGAATCGATTCTACTCCATGTTTTCCTGCATGTATTGTACTGTCTTAACTTTATTTTCAACTCTTCTTGTTTGTCTATCATGTATTGTAGTGTGCTTTCGAGTTCTTCGAGTCTCTTGTTTGTAAAAACTCGTGACTGGTCGATTCTATTGGTGGGTGTTTGTTTATTCTAATAAAAAATGGAATTTTGACAATGTTGGCTGATGGTGGATTTTCCGTCTCCAATATCATATCCAAGTTTTTGATTCCAATGATATCCTTAAAATTTTCTACTTCCATTTTACATGGTCTACATATTTACCATTTTTCGTTTCAATTTCCTGATCCCTTTTATCAATCAAACGTATATTCTCTTCAAAATTACCATCATTGAATAATGAAATATGTTTGACGGCATTACCGGTTTGTTTGAAGACTACTTTATTGACTTTAACCTTCATGGGAAACTCTATTTGAATCAGACAATTACCTCGAAAAGTAAACCATTGCGTTTCGCCGATATCGAATACGTTTTTAGGTTCTCCGTCTATAAGAGCACCCGGTTTTATTTCTGCTTTAAATCCGTATTTGTTTGATTTATAACTTCGGTCTTTTCTATCGAAGACAGTGTCACTTTCAAATGGAAGATTGAAATAATACGATTTGTCCGTGACAATAGCTTCTAATTTGGTCAACTTTTTCTCTTGTCTCAAAAAATCGTCATGAATTCTAGATACCAAAAGATTGACCTGTTCTTTAATATAATTTTTCATATCATCTCGAAATTTATTTTGAAGAAAGTTTTTAATCACCCACTTCTTTTTCTAATTCGTCCGTGATTTTAGTATCCAAAGTAGTCAATTGTCGTTTCAACGTATCTTTGTCAATGGGAAGTGTGTTAATTATATCTTGAACATCTGATTTTTGCTTCGCGATCTTTTCGTTCAATTTGGATACTGAATTTTGTAACTCGGTTTTGTCCGCAGTCTTGTCTAGTTCTGCTAGCAATTCGCCAAGTTTTCTTTCCAAAGCGGTTAGTTTTCGTTTCAATCTATCCTCGTTTACATTTGGGTTATCTATTAAACGTTGGACGTCTATTTTTACCTTCGTAATCTTATCGTCTAATTTAGATATTAAATTTTGCAACTGACTTATTTTATCCACTTGAATAAGACGTTTCAAACTCGTTAACTCTTGTTGTAGTTCACAAGATTTTTAATATTTCGTCTGAGGTATCTTTTCACGTCATTTATTCTATTTTCAACATGCTCCTTATCTATTTGAATTTGATCCAGTAAATATTTCTTGTTCACGGCATCGTTATCGTTTCCTGGAAACTTTAAATTATTTTAAAATTGTTCATATCGATATCCCCTTGTAAGGTGTCTCCGATTTGATCCACGAAAAAAGGTTTCGCTTTGTTTATAAACGTCGTCATGGGATTTTTCGATTCTAGAGGTAAAGACCGTAATCCAAACTTGTTTGCCATTTTTATTGAGTTAAATTTATTATAATTTCTTCAAACTTTTCTCCCAAACTCAACCGATATAAAACCCAAAGCGACAGCTGTCCACACAGCTTTTGTCCTGGCATTTGAATTTGAAAAGTAGAACATTTGATTTGTTTGCTAGTCAATTTCGTTATCTCTTCTGTCGGTTCTAGACCGAAAGAATCAAAGAAATAAAAGTTATTCGAAGAATCTTTGTGTAGAGCAGAGTGATGAACTCCTTTTTGATCCGACGTGTGAATGTGATGGCGTAAAATTTACCTTTCTTGTAATTCAGTTCATCAATTTCATCTCGCATGCAATAATAAAACGGCGAGACGTTCAACTCCTTGGCCCATTTCACAAGTTGAAAGTTTGTGGTCGTGTCTTTTCCGTATTTATCGAGAAATGCATTCATTTTTTAAGTCGATTTTTTAGGTGTTTTTCGAAGTAGGCGGTAAGTATTGCTGAAGACCCAATTGACGAAATATATACGTAGTTTGTGTTTGAAAAAACTTGTATAACATTCTGATAAAACACATTCAATAATATTTTGAAGATAAATTTACATTTAAATTTAAAAAATCTTAATTTAAGAGAGCGTAAATGCTTGTCGACATCTAAATTTCTTAACCTTTCATCTAAATCTTCATTTTCGAGATTCATTTTTAAAAGTCAGTTTTTTGAAGTTCATTTTGATAAAACCTTCCTATGATTTGTTCTTTGTCTTGATCGATCAATTCATACGTGGGAGGTGATGTGCTGTTTACTTTATCAACGATGAATATCTCGTTAGTCCAATACCCGACGTAACCTTTCTGAAACAATGATTTATATTTAAAAACACGAACTCGATTTCCAACTTTGAATTTTGGTTTAATATTCAAATTGCTAATCTCGTTTTCAAAGTTGTTTCGAGTGTGAACGGACTTTATGATATTCGGGTTATTAGAGGCTTGCGTTGGCGTCACACCTATAGACGAATGTATTTTGTTATTGTATTCGTTGATAACAACTGGTAATATTTTAAGCCATTTTTGAGATTTCAATTCCGTGAATTTCTTGAATAATTTGCTTTTAAGAGTCCTGTTGAATCTTTCTATCACTACGGCCTTACCTTCGTTATGCGTGCTGTAAATTTCAAACCCCAGAGATTTCACATTTCTGTTGTAGAATTCGCTTCCTTTATCAACCCACAACTTTAGGGGTCGTCTGTCAGTATGTTTCATTATGGTTTCAAATGCTTGTTTGACAGTCAGACCCGATTTGTTTTTCAAGGGAAAGACCCAAGCGTATCTCGTGTATATGTCGATCACCGTCAAACAAAACTTGTACCCTCTTTCGACTGGCATGTTGATTAAATCGGCTGACAAAATTTCATCTTTATCAAAAACTTTGACTTTGAGGTAATGTTTGTTTTTTCGAAATTCTTTGTGAATCTCGTCTGCTATGCCCATACCCAATTTCAATTTTGCCTTCAAGAGTTTTATGATAAGAGCCCTTTGTAATTTCTCTTTGAAAATGGGATTGGGAATATTTTCGAGTTCGTCTATCATTTGTTTGTCTGCTTGGTGTCTGAATGTTATGTCTTTGTTTCTGTACAGTATGTCGTGTTTGAGCGCTGCTGCGTCAACTCTATTAACGGGTTCTTCCCCTGGTTTGGGATTATCATTTTCGTCTAAACGCAGATCTAATCTCGTGCCTGGACCTGTATAATTGTGCCCTGGGAGATGTTTTTCTCCGAGATATTTTGCCCATGGGAATCCAGGAAGAGAACCCAATGACTTTTGAATGTCTCCCGCACCGAAATACGTTTTAGGAGGGTGGACATTTATTAAAGACATATTTGTTCAATAATGAAATAAACACCATATATTTTTAATACGAAAGATTTAATAGAAGGAGAAAACTATTCAAGCGATAGAAATGAATCATTAGATCTTTTCGCTGCATCTTCTCCTGAGGAAATTTGTTGTTTGAGACAAAATTGGCCACTTTGGGGATGAGAGATGTTAGCGCAGAGAAGAAACCGTATCCTTCGAATTTTTTTTGTTCGTGTTTTAACATTAAAGACATTTTTTTTTTTTAATGCGCTTATTTTATAGTGTATTATTTTAGTGAATCTTGTCTGTGATTTATAATACAGTTTGGAGGAGTCTGTTATGATATATTTTTTTAACAGTTTGGAGAGTTTGTTATAATACATTTTTAACAGTTTGAGGAGTCTGGTATAATATATTTTAACAGTTTGGAGAGTCTGTTTTAATACATTTTAACAGTTGTGTGTTTTCGGATATGACGCATGAAAAAGCTACGCATGCGCAGAAGTGAAATGCGTCATATCCAAAAACACATATACTACTCATCTAGCCAAAAATTGGCAAGCTGGCTGGAACCTTATCTTATCGAATTGTCGAGGTCTTTACATAAATATGCTATGATTATATATATGTAGAGTTATAAACAACTGTTCTTCAATATGAGGTGGTTAATTGTTTCTCTCGTAACAACCATTGTTATAAGCACTTGTTTTTGTGTCCGTTACGAGCCTAATTGGGCTTCCATTGACTCGAGACCTCTACCAGGATGGTATGATGATGTTAAATTAGGTATATTTATCCATTGGGGTGTGTTTTCTGTTCCAAGTTATTCACGTAAATTAATGCCAGCATGGTTTTGGTTGTATCTGAGAGAAATGAAACTACCAGACTATATAGAATTTATGGAAAAGAATTACAGACCTGGCTTCACATACGCCGATTTTGCTCCTCAGCTGACTGCAGAATTTTTTGATGCAAATCGTTGGGCAGAAATTTTTCAGTCCTCTGGGGCAGAGTAAGTAAATTTTGTTTTATCAACTTAATCTAATTCTTGAATGGAAGAATGTTGAACTGATTAGAGTCATTATATTTCATAACAAAATTAGCGCTGTAGGAAAGCCAGGGTTCTAAATAGACCGAATAATCTGTCTCTAATCCAGCCTCTGATTACGGTGGCTCACATACATTTCCCACTTTTTATTTGAATTAAAAACTTTAATAAAAGATTAGGTGATAATTCGTGTAATTTTGAATCAAAAACTTTAATTTTCATAGGTGATAATTCGTGTTATTTTCAATTAAAAACTTTAATTTTCACCTAGGTAATAATTATTTTCACCCAGGTGATAATTCGTGTAATTTTGAATCAAAAACTTTAATTTTCATAGGTGATAATTCGTGTTATTTTCAATTAAAAACTTTAATTTTCACCTAGGTGATAATTATTTTCACCCAGGTGATAATTCGTGTAATTTTAAATTAAAAATTACAGGAATTATCACCTAGGTGAAAATTAATTTTTTTAATTCAAAATTAAAAGTGAAATATGTCGTATGTGAGCCAGCGTATCTGATAGATATTTTGATAGATGTTAGACGGTGTAGAGACAGAAATAAGCCCTCTTAACTGGTGACAATCCGCAACTCTGCAGGTGCCAAGGTTTTAAGCCTATTTGAATACCTCGGATGCCCCCCCCCCCCCCTCCAAGAAAAATAACCGGTGCTATAGGACTGACATTTAGAGGTCTTCTTCCAGTCGATATGACTATTTGTCCTTTTGAAGCACTTCCCCTTTAGATCGACTTCCTATTAATGTTCTTCCGTAGCCTGATGATCTTTCTTCGAATTAAGATGAACAACAGACGCATGAATATTCAAAAATTTAAAATGGCTGAATGGAACTGTTTCTGTCACGTGCATGTTCTAAAAAAAATGTATAAAATGTGTACCTGGAATTTAACGGTAAATTAGTGTTGTACATCACCTCTACTTGCATTTTGTTAACGTCACGTGACCCCTTGCCCTTGAACTTCTGGTTGCGCACACAATCTTCAATGTCAGTTTCGTTAAAAAAAAAACTTTGATGGATCTGGAGACGTGGTATACATGATGTAGGGGGATAAGGATGGTATGAATGAACTACATATTTCCTAAGCAGAGATGCTCCAGTTAAGATGGTTTATTTTTTCTGTCTACACCAGCTGATATCTGTACGAATATGTATCAGAGGCTGGATTAGACACAGATGTTTCGGTCTAGGTTCTAAAGAAAATGGGGTCCACCAAAATATAGCGACGTCGTGGCCTACAAGAACAACCAAATTTTGAATGTCCAAAATTCAGTAAATGTATTATTATTTTTTTTTTTGCATTTACATAGATATATAGTATTTACCGCTAAACATCATGAAGGATACACCAACTGGCCTTCAAAATATTCTTTCAATTGGAATTCTATGGCAGTTGGTCCTCATAAAGATATAGTTGGTAAGTGTGTAAAATTATTTTACTGCCAAAAATACCACGAAGTACGATTCACAATGACACTATGAAGAGTCATGTTATGAAACGTGAAATGTAATGTGCTATAAGTCAAAGGCGAAAGAATGATTGCGTAAGATTCTAAAATTCACAGATTGGAATACAAGATAGCTGGCCAGGCGAGGTAATACATGCCCATTGGCAGCTTTGATTTTGAATAAAAAATATTAAACAGTACAGTAACAATCACCTTTAGTCATACACTTCTCTAGAACTGTTTGGGTTGATCCTGAACCTTACAACAAAGTTTTGTAAAAATCTAGCAAAAAATAGTGCCTTAAAGCGTTTGAGCTGAAAATTAAAATCGTCAAGAACAATGTCAATAAGTCATATAACACATTTCTTCTATTTTTAGATTTTCAATGGGGTTTATCCTTTGGTAATAAGAGCTGAAAGTTGAAAGCGTTTACAAGAACAAGAGCAATAACTATTATTACAAATTGTTCGATTTTTCTGATAATCTATAGGGTTCTTCTTGGATGATTACAAACACTCACACCAAGTTTAATTGAAATCAAGATTTGTGCATTCTAGAGTGTTTACGATCTAAAAATTAAACGTGTCACCAACAACATGGGCAAAACCCTCCAAAATTTTGGGTGATTACAAACACGCAAACCAAATATCGCCAAAATCTATCGAGAATTGTACCTTCCAGAGTGTTTGCGACCAGAACAGAACATGGGCAATAACTCATACTAAATATTTTTCGATTTTCCTGATTTTCTATAGAGTTCATCTTTGGGTGACTACAAACAATCATACCAAGTAAAGGGTTGTTTTTACGAGCAATATTATGGACGGACAGACGGACATGGGTGACGACATAATACGCCCCCATTTCATATGAGAGTATAAAAATGCCTTGCTAATAAGACATATATACATATAGATCTCCAACCTTTCTTTGTGTTACAGGTGAACTGGCAGCTGCAATCAAGATGAATACATCCCTACATTTTGGATTGTATCACTCTTTATTTGAATGGTTCAACCCCCTTTACTTACAAGATAAAGCAAACAACTACACAACGTCTTATTTCGTAGACGTAAGTCCTCAATTTACACATTCCGTTTACATTACACCCACAGCCAAAGTCAAATCAAACAAACAAAGAAACGAACAAAAAACGATGATGAACTCAATCGTAAGACTAAAACCCTTTTAACATGTTTGAATATTCAGGTGTATTTTGATTTTCAGCGAAAAACTTTACCAGAATTATATGAATTAATAAACACTTATCAACCTGAAGTTATTTGGTCTGATGGCGATTGGGAGGCAAATAGTTCTTACTGGAAATCTACGGAATTCTTAGCTTGGCTTTATAATGATAGGTAGGTTTAAATATAATTACTACTGATAGTCTATAGAATTCTTATCTTGACTTTATAATGATAGGTAGGTTTAATACAGTTCTAGCTGATAGTCTATAGAATTCTTATCTTGGTTTTATAATGATAGGTAGGTTTAATACAGTTCTAGCTGATAGTCTATAGAATTCTTATCTTGACTTTATAATGATAGGTAGGTTTAATACAGTTCTAGCTAATAGTCTATAGAATTCTAAGCTTGGTTTAATAATGATACGTAGGTTTAATATAGTTCTAGCTGATAGTCTATAGAATTCTTATCTTGGTTTTATAATGATAGGAAGGTTAAATATAGTTCTTACTGATAATCTACTACATTTACATCGCAATATTGAACTTACGTCCAAGAATACACGATGATTTATTGCCGAGATAGATTCAGCTTTACGAGCTCTCATGCCGAATGTGGAAATGTATACTGTTAAACTAAAAGGGTAATATTAAAACCCTTGATATCTTCCAGTCCAGTAAAAGATACAGTTGTCACCAATGATAGATGGGGTAAAGATTCCACATGTCATCATGGCGGGTATCTGACATGCGCAGATAGGTATCAACCAGGTAATATGTGGATTGAAATAATTATCGTTTGATAAGCATAACCATATCTCTATGAAATTATTGTGGGTTATCCGAATCAATTTGCCAGTAGTTCTACAATAACCAAATATCACTGTTAAAATAGTGCTCAAAATAGTAGTCAATTATAGAATAATATAGAAATATGTCTGCTAGATAGGGTTTAAATATATTCAAGTAATTTGGATATTTGGGATGTTATATAATGACAAATATCATAATTCATTTTCAGGGAAACTACAGAAAAGAAAGTGGGAAAATGCTATGACTATTGATGGCCAGGCCTGGGGTTTTAGAAGAGATGTAACTTATTCACAGTTTCTGTCCATCCATACATTGATTTCTACATTTGTAGAAACTGTCAGGTAGGAAAATTATAAGATAGGCAGGCAAAATGGAATACATCTTCATTTAAAATAACTCTATTCTATATAAATGCCAAATTTATCAAATAATGTGTTAAGGTGTTAGATAATTTACCTAAATCGACGATTTTACAGCAAAAATGAAAACAATCCGTCATAAATTGTAGTTTATAGAGTGAACACGAGATGCTACCTGAAAAATGCTGAAAATATGATCAAATAAGATGCCGATCAGCAAGAAAAAGGCATTAGCGTGAAAAAACTATCAAAGCAAAGAATGATTGTAATCTGTCTGGAATTCAAAAATAATAAGTTGGTGCCATTGCTGAATGAAACAAGCTCGGCTTTTTACGAAATGGAATTGTTTATTGTCCACAGAATGAATGAAAAAAAATAAATAGCATTTGTTTCAGTTGTGGAGGGAATATGTTAATGAATGTTGGACCAACCAAAGAGGGTTTCATAGACCCTATATTTGAAGAGAGACTTTGGCAATTTGGTGAATGGATGAAAGTCAACGGCGAAGCTATCAGAGGTACCAGACCATGGAAAGCACAGAATGACACCATTAACTCTAACATTTGGTAAGTCTTGAACTAGGTATAAGAAAATCCAATGACGAATAATTTGGTATTTATGTAAGAAAGCGCCATCGAATCTCATCTGGGCCAGAACGTGACCAGTATACACAACTGAAATAAGATCATAGAAATAAACTAATTGAGAATTCTATCGGATCTTTTAACTCTAGATATTAATCCGTATTATACAAGATCCTCTACGGTGACTCACATACGACATTTTCCACTTTTTATTTTGAATTAAATACTTTTTTTTAACTTGGTAGAAATAATTATCACCTAGGTGAAAATTAATTTTTAATTAAAAACTTAAATTTTCATCTAGGTGATAGTTATTTTCACCTAGGTGAAAAGTAGGTGATGATTTTTGTAATTTTTAATTAAAAACTTTAATTTTCACCTAGTTAGGTGATAATTTTTGTAATTTTGAATTAAAAACTTTAATTTTCACCTAGGTGATAATTCAAGTTTAAAATTCTAAATTACAAAAGGTAATCACCTAGGTGAAAATTAAAGTTTATAATTCAAAATTACAAAAGGTAATCACCTAGGTGAAAATTAAAGTTTATAATTCAAAATTACAAAAGGTAATCACCTAGCTGAAAATTAATGTTTTTAATTCAAAATTAAAAGTGAAATATGTCGTATGTGAGCAACCGTAATCCTCTACATGTCTTAATCTTCGTGTATCAACAACAAAATATGAAGATATACTGTGTTTATTAGGTACCGTTGATTACCTCTGATAACCTTTGTAGTTAATTTTATTTCGTATCATAGGTACACTATGAAAGGATCTGATGTGTATGCTATAGTTTTGGAGTGGCCACAAGGTGATACATTAACTCTTGGTTCACCAATACCATCAACAAGTACCACAATTAATTTACTAGGTTATCCTGATCAGTTTCAATATACTACAAGACCTAGTGGTGGTATTGATATCAAGATTCCACCCATTCCTGCAAATAAAATGCCATGTCAGTGGGTGTGGTCATTTGTTATAACTGGTTTGATGAATTAAAGTTGATATATGTGAAATTCTGTGTGTTACAATGTCTGCATTTTGAGACAAAACCCATTCAAAGAGTATTTCTACATTCTAACCACAAAACACTGCCAAAGTACGAAACACAGTTACGAGTTACAGAAACGATCATGAAACAATCTAGCAGAAAACCACAGAAATTATAGGTTGATGCTGGAACAGAGTTTTATAACAGAAACGTAAAATCACTCCGGTTTGAAATTTACAACAGGGAAAATAGTAATAGAAAGATTTAACAGAACGCTTAAATAAAACTGTTTAAAACATTCACAGAACAAAAATCTCAAAAATGGTTAAAGACTTTACTCGCTGTAGTATCGGAATACAACAGAAAAATTCATTCTTCTATCGGAGTTTCTCCTCTGAAAACTAGTCAAAATTCAGATATTATAAAGTTTTTTTCTGCCTTTAACAATTTTGAAAATAAAATGATATACATGTTAAGGAAAAGTTTAAAGTTGGAGACCGAGTTCGTATTTTCAAGTATAAAAGTAAATTCGGAAACGGTTACGTTGGATACTGGACAAACAAAATATTTATCGTAGATAAAGTAAATATCACCTCCAACATATGAATTAATCGACCAAGACAAGGAACAAATCATAGGTAGATTTTACCAAAACGAACAAAAAACTGACTTTTAAAAATGAATAGCTTTCTATATAAATATGGAAATGATACAACTACAAACTTTCAACTTATGAGAGTCAAATATATCATATATATATCAGGAAAAAATATATAGGGAAGAAATTAAATCATATTATTTCAATCTTCCATTTGAAAAGTTGAGTGAAGAAGATGAAAACATTCGTAGTGAATCAAACAAAAAAATTTGGATTTACAGCAAAAATAAAAATGTCTTTAATACATGAAGAATATAAAAACTTATGTAATACCGGTTATCCACTACCGTTTGCTTTCCAAGAAAAACTCTAGTTGAAATTATTTTCCTATGAAGGTTAAAGTTGATTCAATATTCTTCACACAACGCTCACCAATTGGTGGGTCTTTACGCTCGCAAAGTTCTTGAATTTATCAATGATGGTGAAGCTGAAGAATTAAAAAATTAGAAATAACAATGAAAACAACAATATTGATCACCTGTATGGAATTAAAACAAATGGAAAATATAGACACCTTTAGAATGTTAATCATACCACCAGATGAAAATGATCTTTTTGGATTGGTAAATTTTGATATGATATTGGAGACCATCTATGAATATTATTAGAAATCCAGAACCACAAAAGAAGGTGAAACAAGGAGTTATGAGTTTTTACGAGACTGAATATGTGAAGCTATATTTTGTTAATGATTCTTATTTCACCTCTGTTAATATTAATAAAAGTCAACAAGATGAAAAATTAAAAATATTTTCATCAATAATTTGACGCGAAGAGAATGTAAAAGTTGGTGGTATACTTGTAGATGTAAGATAAACATCAATATTAAAAAACCAAAATTTTCAGTTCATCTGAATAAGATTCTTCAAAAGAAGAATTATCGTTAGTATCTGTAGAAGTTATTATTTTTAAACCTGCATTAATATATAATGGAATGTTTCTTGGGAGAGCTATTTTAGACAATAAACAATATCTATATTTCAGTTTACCAGAAGTTCATTTAATTTAATTACCTAAAAAATGAAACTCGAAAGTGATGATGCTTTGTTCGATTTCTCATAACGGTAGTGGTTTTGATTGTACTTACAAAACGTACCTTTATCTAATCCATTCACAAATGAAGATCTACAGAAAAAATGGAAAAGACAAAAAGAAATAACAACCAGCAATAAAAATTATTTACAATGTTTTGATTTCACATGTTCCTATAAAACAGAGGTTACTTCAAAACTTAAAAAAATAAAAGAGACATGTTCTAAACTAATGGCGTTTGATGCTAACGGTTTGTATGCTTCTGCTATGTCAGATTTAGACAGTGAATATCCAAAAGCAGACAGTGTTAGACCGTTTCTACCAGAAGAAGAAAAGGAATTTGTATAAAACTCTTCAATGAACAAAAATTTAGAACCAAAACTGCTTTTTGAAAGTCTGGTTTGAATATCACCAAAACATGTTCTTCCAACCAATACCAGCTAAAGATAAAATAACTTTCACGAACAAAGAACGTAAAAATGAAACATGCACTAAAATCAGGTTCAGAAATGGTTTCTGTTCAGACGTTTTAACATCTGTATTCAAGAGATGGTTAAAGCTGGTGGACGAAGTATTAGTAGATAAGTTTCCAAAATCAGTAAACCTATTTTTACCATCTTTGATTTCCAGATTTATATCTTTAATCATAAAGGAATTAAGTGGTAAATATGTCGTTTGAAATGGTGCAGTGAATGTTGGAAGACTGTAAATTATCTGACGCTTGTATTTATTGAAAAATACCCCGCTTATCAAATTACAGTGAATACTAATGACATCAATATCATTCTTCAAAACATTTTGATATTTACATAAAAATACCTCAATAGATTGTATTCCCTACTTTTATTAGTGTTTTTCGGAGCTCGGTGGCTTTAACAAGAAAGGTACATATAGATTTTGCAATCTCGAGTGGTGGGTCAAATAGGGTTTGAAATGAATAATGAAGGTTATGGTGTATTTTGAAAACGGGGGCCATATGTATCTATATTGAGGACAGGAAACTAGAAAATGTTTCTCATGACGAATTAATTGTTCCTTATTTGACATTTTTATTGGATATTTTTCATAACATTTTTATAATCACTTTTATCTGAAATACCTTTCTCTAGAAGTCTTTTAATATACAATTTACTTCATTAAATTGTCTGTGTGATCGATGACCTTCTTTCATTGCCGCTAATATTATTTATAATCTATTATAATCTATGTCTTGTGTGATTGAATTGTCTTCTGATTCGTCAACTTCATATTCACCACCTTGGTGAACAGCTCTTATAAACAGCTCAACTTCTTTCAATCTATATATTTCGGGACTTTTTAATTGCATGTAGAAGTTTTGAATATGCTACTAAATCATTGTAATCGGCAATGCCAACATCCCCGCCAGTCATTAAATTTATTAATCCTTCTGTTAATATAAATATAAAGTCTTTTGTATCGAGTTTGAATTGTGGTGAATTTCCACTAAATCTTATTCTAAAACCATTAAACATTAACCCCACTCCATCAACGATTGGTTTAGTACTCTTTGGTAAATCTGCTTCAGGGTTTGAAAAATTGGGTTTTATATCATCTAATGTCTTAATTATAATACCACCCTATTCAATCGGTTTTGGATCGGGGTGATCTATATGAGGTGTGGGTGTAATCTATATTCTATAGCTAATTTCTATTTAATATCCTCTTGAGTTTTTAATATTGGTTGAAGTTTGTAGATTTTCTGTTAATCCGAGTTGTTGTAATTAACTATTTTCAAACTGGGTCTTTATTTTATTTATTTCTTTTTAAAATATTATTCCAATCACTACTCAGTTTTAAAAAATACAATTTGACTGTTAGCTTAACAGATGTTGGTCATAACTTTTCAACCTGCAGGTCTTTTATTTCCACTTCTTCTTCGTTGTCTTCATAATATTGAAATATATCTTGAACGTATTTCTTTGGTAAATATTCTAAAGCATTTATGAATTGCTCTGGTGTTGTTGTGTAGATATACAGAGAATCGAAATCTAAAAGCTTTGGTGTTGTCAATATGTTAAAAGTAAGATGAGTTTTCCCAGAACTCGAACTTCCGCAAATGCACATGAGCATTGGGTTTTGTGGAAATCTTTCTGAATGTTTGAATTTCTTTCTCAACTTTCAGCTTCCATAACCATTTCGCTAAATAAAGACGAGAAGAAATTGTTTTCTAACGTTGTGTTGGTTTGTGGAACTCGGTTCTGATTGGGAGTTCCGTCTTTGATTTTGAAATCGCATCTGAAATAAGCATCGGAAAGATGCAGCCAATAACTCTACCCCCATCATTCAGTTGAGATTTAGAACCAACAGTTGGTAAGATGATTAAATGATCCTCTTTTTTCTCGTTAAATGAATATTGAATTGGATCATATAATTGAAAGATTGGATCTTGTCTGTAATTTTTATTTGCCATTTCTATAGGTCAAAATAGAAACTATCCTATAACTTTAAATCCTTTTCCTAGTTTTTCTATTCTCCAATTTCCTTGCTGTTTTTCCAATGCTTGGGTTGGGGTTATTTGAAATAACATTGAATGTTTTTGGAATCATAGCAACTAATCCTTCTCCTTGTTGTTTTTCCGATTCTTTGATATTTGAAATAACAATTTAGTCGGATCAGGGTTTTGGACTACAGTCTATGAATTAGACCGACAATCCCCTTTTATTGTGCAATAGCTTGTATATACAGTAGAAGGTGCATCTAAACAGATTTTTTTGAATACACATTTAATTTTTAGCTCGTAAACAATATAAACGGCACAGCTATTGCTGGATTTTGAGAAACCTTGCTATCCTAAAATTGTTCATTATTACCCAAAAAAAATTCTAAAGGAGGGTATGACTAAAGGTTGAAACTTTCATACTCGTGATTGTTACTGTACTGCCAAATATTTTTATTCAAAATCAAAGCTGCCAGTTGGCGTACATTATCTTGCCTATCAAGCTATCCTAATTTAATTGGATAAGTACCATCTAACATAACATTCGATTGGTAAAGTGAAAAGATTTTAGTGGGAATACATTATAACACGTGTTCGCATTTCATATTGTGGGTAATTTGCTTCTTTTCTATTAGATTTCGGGGAAGGGAGGGTTTGATTCTCCCAAATGTACAGGCCTAGGGTGGAGCAGACACTTTATTTAGAAATTAGGATCAAGGGTCTTGATATTGGGTTTTCTTCTGTTCTTATTCTGATCTGAAATTAGAAAAGATAACTCGCCCGATGGGCGAGAAGTATAGTATCTGTTATGTACTGTTTGTTTTTAGTTTACTATGAACAATATTATCATTTAAGTTCTT